GTGTTGAGGCTTTTAAAGCCATCGACCTACACGACCTCTTCTGGGTGTGCGAAACATGCAGAATGAAATTCAAGGTCTCGGTTTCACTGCAACAAGTGATCTCTAGAGTAGAGCAGGTAGAAAAGAATGTCATAGAAGCAATTGGCAAAGACAAGGATGAGAAAACTGTAGAGAAAGGGATCGAGAAAAAAATAAATGAAATGGAGAAGAAAGTAGTAGAAAAACTAAGCGAACAGAAAAAGGTTATCCTACAGAGCTCGGACACGATAAAGAAAGCTGTTCAAACGAGCAACGAGAAAAGGGACATGAACCTGATCATTCACAACCTGCCAGAGTCAGAGTCAAGCGAGACAGAGGTAAGGAAGGAATATGACAAGGAAAGGATCCAAGAGATGTCTAGGGCCCTGCGAGGCAACGACACTCATATAGATTTGCTAGACGTGGTCCGTCTTGGCAGAAGAGACACTTCATCCGACAAACCGAGATTGCTTTTGGTGAAACTTAAAGACAAAGAGCAACTAGAGGACCTGTACAAAAAGAGGTTCAGACTAACAGATGTAGGGTTCAAGAACAGGTACATCACCAAGGATCTGTCGCCAGAAGAAAGATCAAAGCAAAAAGAACTGAGGGACGAACTCAAAAGAAAAGGCAAGGAGACACACAGGATCTTTCAGAACAAGGTGGTCCCAAGAGAACAGTAGTGTGACTCTCAACAAAGTTTTGTCATGCTTCTACTCTAATGTCAATAGCTTAGGAAACAAGATGGAAGAGTTTGTGAACAGGGTGGACATTCATAAGCCAGACATTATAGGACTGACAGAAGTGTGGCAGAAGGATGAGATTCACATTCAAGGCTATCAAGTAGCAGCCAGTAAGTCCCGACCTGATGGTTGTAAAGGTGGAGGTGTTCTACTTCTTGTGGCAGATCATTTAAGGGTCAGCGAGTGTGATATTTTGAACAATTCAAACTTTGAAGAAGCAGCATGGTGTAGAATTCACACAAGGCCTGGGAACACAATAGTGGTGGGCATCTGCTACAGACCACCAAACAGTGATCGGGAAAATAATCAAGAACTGCTGAAGTTGCTAGAGAAAATGAAAACAATTAGTGCTACAGACTACCTGGTTATGGGAGACTTTAATTACAGAGAAATTGATTGGGACACTGGTGCAATTTCAGGACCACCAAACTCTGATGCCACTCAGTTTTACAACATAGTACAAGACTGTTACTTAACCCAGCATGTGAAATCCAGCACCAGGCACAGAGCAGGTACAGCCCCCTCTACCCTGGACCTCATCCTCACTAATCAGGAAAACAATGTTGAGGAAGTCAAATATGAAGCTCCAATAGGAAAAAGTGATCACTGTGTGATAATATGGGACTATAGAATACACTCTGAAAACAGGGAGGCCAAGGAACAACTCAGATACAATTACAGAGCTGGTAACTATGATTCTATCCGTCATGAGCTAGCACAGGTGCAGTGGGATGTGATAGAAAACATGGATGTTGAAGCAGCATGGACATTCTTTGTTGATAAGTTACACGATTGCAGAAAGAAGTATGTTCCTCTATTCAAAGGCAGAAGAAAAACAAAACTGTCACCACCGTGGTGGAATAAAGCACTAGATAAGCAAGTGAAGCGTAAATATAAAGCCTACAAGCAGTACAGAAAAGAACAAACAGCAGAGAATCTGAAGAAGTTTACCAGGATCAGAAACGAGACCACGAGTCACATCCGGCAGACAAGAAGGTTGTATGAGGAAGAGCTGGCAAGGTCAGCTAAGATAATGCCAAAGAAGATAGCCAAATATGTAAGACTGCAAAGCAAAACAAGAGACAAAGTGATGGAACTAGTCAAACCTGATGGCACTGTGATAGCAACAAAGAAAGAGATTGCAGATGAACTACAAACATTCTTTTGCTCAGTTTTTGTAAAAGAACAAGGCGGTGTTTTGCCAGCTTTTGAAAGTCAGGTGGAAGAAGGAGAATCACTCGAGGATATTAACATTACTTTTCAGGAAGTACTCCATGAACTTCAAACGTTGACTGAAGACAAGGCATCAGGACCGGATGATGTTTCCCCCTTTCTCTTGAAAAACTGTGCACCTGAGCTAGCATACCCACTCATGCAGATATTCCAAAAGTCCATGACAAGCGGACAGCTACCAACAGCTTGGAAGAGAGCAGCAGTGGTACCACTCTTCAAGGGAGGCTCCAAAAAACTGGCAAGTAACTACAGGCCTGTGAGTCTGACTAGTCATGCATGTAAGGTCATGGAAAGAATTATCAAAAGGCACCTGCTCAACCATCTATTAGAGAAAGATCTCATCTGCAAAGAACAGCATGGCTTTGTACCCAGAAAATCATGTTTGACCAATCTTCTAGAGGCTCTGGAGGATTGGACACACATACTGGACAGCAGCAGTGGACTGGACATCATCTATTGTGACTTTAAAAAGGCCTTTGATTCTGTGCCCCACCGAAGACTTGTTAAGAAGCTGGCTGCCTATGGTGTCAAAGCAGGAGTGCTTCAATGGATCACAAACTTTCTTCAGGACAGGACTCAGAAGGTAGTAGTTCATGACCAAGAATCTAGAGAAGAGGCTGTGACCAGCGGAGTTCCGCAGGGCTCAGTATTGGGACCCATCCTGTTTGTGATATATGTCAACGAATTGCCCACATTGGTCCAGTGCGACGCAAAACTGTTTGCAGATGACATGAAGATTTATCGCAAGGTCAGAAATTCAGAGGACTCAGAACAACTTCAGGCAGACCTAGATAGACTCTCGCAATGGACTGAACAATGGCTTCTTGAATTCAACCCCCAAAAGTGTAAAGTGATGCACTGTGGACCACATAACCCAAAAAGATCTTACAGTATTAGAGGAGTCAAACTAGAAGTCACAGATAAGGAGCGAGACCTGGGGGTGACTATAACAAACGACCTTCGACCTACTAGTCACTGTCAAAGAGCTGCGAGCAAAGCAATGGTAGCTCTCCGAATGATAAAGAGGTCCTTTGACCAAATCACAGCAACAAACTTCACCAGCCTCTTCAACTCATATGTGAGACCACACCTGGACTACTGTATACAAGCTGTGGGTCCCCAAGCTGTTCAAGATATCAGTCTCCTCGAAAACATCCAGCGCAGAGCTACAAGATTGGTGAGGGGGTTAAAGCACAGGCCATACCAAGAAAGACTAAAAGTCCTGAAGACCGTATCTATTAAAGACAGGATAAAAAGAGGCGACTTGATTGAGACGTATAAAATCATGTCAGGGAAGCTCAATGTGAGGAGAGAGAAGTTTTTCAAACTGAGGACGACAAACACAAGAGGTCACCATATGAAATTACACAAGGAGCAGTCAGTCCATCAAGCCAGACAAAGGTTCTTCTCACAGAGGGTGGCTAATGACTGGAACAAGCTACCAGATGATGTTGTGTCTGCTGACACCACTGCTACATTTAAAGCTAAGCTAGATAAGCACCTCCAGCTCAAAGCCAACTGTGACCTGTGACCTCCAACCTCAATGAGTACCCTGACATGTTTCCTTGCCAACAATGACATGGACAACAAATAGCATACTGCTACCCCAAGTCCATTATCTATATACCTATACCTATACCTATACCTACATAGAGGTTACAGAGGTCATATGAGACACGTCAGGTCACAGATGTCAACTTGGGGTCATCACAGAGCTCAATTGGAGACCACTGGTGCAGCTGAGACACGTCGGTCACAAAGGGCAACTTGGGGGCACGTTAGGTCACAGAGGTCAACTTATGGTCATCACAGAGCTCAACTGGGGGTCTTCTGGGACATGTCAGGTCACAGAGTTCAGCTTAGGGTCATCAGAGAGATCACTTAGAGGTTACAGAGGTCATATGGGACACGTGAGGTCCCAGAGGTCAAGTTGGGGTCACACAGAGCTCAAATGGAGGTCATCTGGGACATGCCAGGTCACAGAGGTCAGCTTAGAGTTATTAGAGCTAAACTGGAGGTCACGGAGGTCATCTGGGACACGTCAGGTCAAAAAGGTCAACTTGGGGTCATCGCAGAGCTCATTGGAGGTCATGGGGGTCATCTGGGACACGTTTTTGGAATCGGGAGAATTTTGGGGGATGACCCTTGCAACGTCCAACACCGCCTTTCTGGATTCGCCAGTAGTTGCTGGAATGGTGTTAGGCTACTTCCAATTCCTGAATACCCCAATAAATGTGAAATAGCATATTATGGACCATTTTCAACACTCTTGCTGCCTCGCTTGCATGGATGGAGGCCTCATAGACGACCTGTCAGTTCAAGCTCTATAACTTGCATTAGCATCAACGGATTGCAACAAAATTTTCAGGATCTCAAGTTCAAACAATTTTACACGTACCACGTAACTTTCGAGGCAATGACCCGAATGACCTGTGACCTATTCGGTATACCCCAAGGCAAGGTCAACTTGCGACACTGACACTACTTACGACTGCTATTTCAATTTTGTAAGTTGTGTCGCAAATCAGGCAATGTGCAATACATTAAAATTACAATAACCCACACCAAAACACACTATACCTACCAAATCAAGTTCTTCAGCACCCCTAAGGTAAGGCCAGTGCACTGGCACGGGGCACGTCCAAGGTCAAATCGCGTTTCTCAGATTTTCGGTTTGTTATTTTCATCAAGGTTTTGATAGGTGCTCGCACGGTAGCCATGTTGGGATAGGTGAATTAAAGGTTAAATTATTTAAATATTTTAAAATAATTTAAGACCTGCCAAGCCTAACAATACGCAGAATAATAACCAGCATTAAAAATTGTATTGGGATAAAAATTTATATGTGAATCGAAAGGGTCCGCTAAAAATGACCTTGACCTTTGACCCGTCATTTCTCCGTAGTTTGACCTTGCCAAAACAAGAAAAACCAGCAGTAGCATCTCCAACATTGTTTGCATCATTGAGCAAAAAATTATTGAAATCTAAGGGGTCCTCCTTTCTCACCTGGCCACGTGGTCACTTCCACTTCCTGTATTACACATACGTGACCTTGATTCTGACCTTTGACCTACTATATATCAGTTCGTGCTGCTTGCCAAAGTAAGAAATTGATATTTTTGAAATCAGCTTTTCATGGACTATAGTTGTACCAATTTTTACGAGAATCCAAAGGGTCCGCCGAGAATGACCTTGAACTTTGACCTAAGATTCCTCAGTTCTTAGGGGGTGCCAAGCCTAGGTGATTTATTTTCGTAATAAGCATGTCCTGGTCTATCTATCCTGTTAATTTAAATCGATTCTGAGGGGTCCATTTTTGTCATTTTTTCCACGAATGTGGTGCTGGAATCCGAATCCGAATTTGAAGCCAACTTTATGAACGTAATAACAGCGCCGTTCTGCGCCATTTGTTGTTTGGTGAACGTATGTCAATCTAGTAGCAGTAACATATTTCAACTTATAGATATGTTTGTCTAAAACAGAAAATCGGTCTTGAAGCATTTTGCGATCAAAGACACCTATGCACTGCAAACATATCAATAAATTTTATCAATTTGATCAATTTTAAGCCAAAAATACCTACATAACAGCACACATTGAAGCAGACATCTTTCGAGCGTATCAATCAGCATACAAAGGTAGGAGGTATATTAATAAATATAAAATAATGCTGGTTGCTCGGTTACTCCTGTTTTATTAATGTGAAATGCTCCATAAATTCTCTAGGCCAAAGATCTCAGTCACATGGTCATCGAGGCAAACTGTTGTCTTCCATACGTGTGGTTGTGGATTTGGCTATTATGCACACCAAGGCGCCCTAAAACGAAAAATTCCATATTGGGTCGATGATTTAGTTGTGCTCCATCCAGTGTCTAGAATTGGTCTACAAGAGCTTTTGCCCTCATTTCTGTTAATTTTCCAATTTCCATGTTACTCTTTATCTAACTATAGAAAATGAGCTACTGCCATATTGACGAACGTGAATCAACGAAGCTTGAGCGAGCCAAATTGTTTTGCGCCAGTTATCTTGCAGCAGATTCGTTCGTAGTTGGTTGTGCTTACTGGGCGGCGGTGACCGCGGAGTCATGTCTAATGTTAGGGACAGTGATACTTCGCTTTGGCTTCATAATAAATTAGGAACATCTAACGATACATGGATTAATGGATCGATATGCTCACAGCTGAATGTCTCAGTACTGAGAAACATTCGTGAGTGTTTTGTAAATTTGCAAACACAAGTAAAATTGAAGCTTCTTTTAGCACTTCTTCACACTCCAAGAAGGAACTTAGAAGAAGTAAGTCTATGTATATTTTGGCAACTTAACAACATGCGACTAATGCATGTTAATACCCTAGGTGGGCTCTGAAAATTTTTGAGACCATGGAAACTGTGTTGATGTGTCACGATTTAGCGCTATGGTGAAAGATGGGCGTCCTGTTCAAGTGTCTGTGGCTGCTGGTGCTACAGCTCCTGCGGTGTAAAAGGCTGGGCTTAGCTAGTGGCCAATCAGTCAACATACACAGGAGTTTCTGCCATCCTGATAGGCCACTGGATAAGCCCCACCTTTTTAACCACGAAAGCCATGGCAGTCACAAACACTTGAACTGGGCCCTGGTTTCCCTTTGATGTTAGATGGTTACATGTCACTTGTGCTGGAAAGATGGATTATTAAGTTTACCTTAAATCTCATGAGTCTAATATTGCCCCTGCGGTGGTGTGGGCTAACCACGATAGGTACTGGAAAGCCATCAAATGCTCTTTTATTCATTTTTGTAGTTCTCATAATTATCACAAGGTATGCATTATGTTATCTTGATGGTTGATAATTTTCCACAAATTGATGCATAACTGGAAAATGAATAGAGCTTACAGTACCTCATAAAAGTGCATTTGGTAGCCATGGTAATGCTTCTTTGTATTTTTTTTGGAAAATCTGAAAGAACGTTGAAAGAGCCTTCAAATGCACTTTTCCGTGGCACTGTAGCTCTATCATGGATGCTCTATTATTCCTGAATTATGAGTCAATTTATCGAAAATTGTTTGAACAGGCGAAATTTAACATTTGCAGACCTCTTGTGGCCTTGATATTTGACCTGGCCTGAAAATGATTGAAGTACTTTCTTCGTAATTACGCTCTTTCTAATACCGCTTACCGCGTGTGCTACGTGACCCAGAAGCCGAGTTAGTAGGGGGAGCGTACAAACGCGCCCCGCAGCACTCCACGAAAAATTCAGACCACCAGCACTTCACAGGTTTAAATAGGATAATCGAGTTGCAAGCAATGGAAGTTGCGTTTCAGAGGAACGCAGGAGCGAGCAGCGAAGCAACGTTTTAGGAATGTTGGACCCGGTTGCGCTGGGCATAATTTTAGCTTAAAGATACAAGTTTCCTGGAGCCCCTGAAATGAGACTGTTTGAGCTGTCCCGATGATGTTTGGGTGATGATAAAGCGTTGCAAGCTAGGTTCCTAATGAAACTGGTTGCTTGATTGCCCTTTGTTGCTGCTGTCTGCTAAGCTAGTGGCGCTGGTGAATCTACACAATCTGTCGCCGGTTAGAAACTGATATTAGCGAATCAGCTACACTCGTTAGTGTCGTTAGCTGACTATCCGACCCTTGTTTCAGTGGAAAGTCGACATCGAGGAAATCCTCGAGATTGCTGCTCTGGACTCAGACCAATGGGTATCAATGCTGGCTGAAGTCATGAAAACATTCCCGGCAACGGGGAATTTCAACACGGAAATCGGCAATGTCGAGGAGAATAGGAAGATCTTCGGTGACCTGATTCAGGAGCTGCAGAAGCTGGGTGAGTCTCGAAGACGTTTCAGGTGATCATATATTCCAAAAGGGAAAGTGTTCTAGACTGCATATGGTATGTTTGGAACGCAGGTGCTCTGCTATATGATAATTTTGCTCATTTTATGGGGGTAACTGCTAAGGTATAGATGATACGCCTGCCTAATTTTAACCAATCTGTCTACTATCGTTGCATTAGTTTGTAGGCTCCTATAGTTCACTGTATTGTCAATTTTCCATCTATTTGTCACAAATGCATTTCAAATATCCATAAACGAAGAATTTATTCATATTTTCTTGTCCTCTGTGGATATGTGGGACCAGCTAAGACCGAAAGTTTCACGTTCGCCAGCGTCGATAATTCCTAGCTCACAAAGTATGCGCCTGTGTTATCACTGTAGTATTTGTGGATTGCCGTTTGACGTTGGCCGTCTGCTGCGTTGTTTGCAGTGCGGAAGACACTGGACGTCGATCTGCTGCCCCTGGAGTGTCACTACCTGAACCGGGCGGCGCTGGCGGCCACCACCGGCCAGCTGGTGAGTGGCGCCCTCCCCGCCACCAGCGGGGCCGCCCTCCCGGTCCCTCCGCCCGGGATGGGGCGCCCGCCGACACTGGCTCTCAGTCAGGCAATGCGACTGGGCAGTCCGGAGCGTGTCGTGGCGCAGGATGAACTGGGCTCCTCACAATCTTCAGCCCACCGGTTATACATACGTGCTGTTTTGAATGTGTGTGTACTCAAAGTTATGAGACATTACCAGGCCCTGATTCGTTGATTAGCTTTAATGAAAACACAACAGAACTTCGGCTTCATACGGATCCGTGCTTCTACTTTAATTAATTTCATTGTATGTAATACAATCCTTGCATCTTAAATCAAAATTTATTTTCGATTTCTTTATTTGTTTTCCACATCAATGCAACATGATTAAATGCCACACTGCAATAGAAGGGGTCGGAATTCCCCTCGCAAAGCCCATGCCTATGATTTGTTGCACGGGCTCCGTTGTTTCGTTGGTTAGTTACCGATCGTTTGCTGCCCGCCAGCCAAGTCTTACCCCCGCCCCCCGTCCCTGACGATCAGCCGCAGCCAGAGAAGCACTTCTCGCTGCGCCGGAAGCCCAAGTCGGCGGCGCTGAAGCTGGAGCTGCTGCAGAAGGCCCAGGACATCAGCGCGCAGCTGAAGAAGACGGTGGTGCCCTCGGTTCCGGTCCGCTCGCGGGGAATGCCGCGGAAAATGGACAACTCCGGTGAGCGCCGCAGCCAGCCGAGAAACGTCGACGAACCGAAAATAACCCAACGCTTGAATACATTGCTTTGTCTAGTTGTATTTTTTGTTAACATCTGTTTCGTTTTGACACTTAAAACGGGAATAGTACTGAAAAACTTCAGCTACATGACAGCTGACCGCCCCCCCTTCCACAGCTGGTTCCTTGTTACCAACAAATAAGATAGTTGTCGGAATTCGCTCGAGGTGTCTGATATACAGTGTCCTTACCGTCTGTGTGTGCTGGCCGTATGCGTTATTGACGTCTACTAAGTGTGTCTGTGTGCTGACTGCGTCTGATATACAGTGTCCTTACTCCTTACCGTCTGTGTGTGCTGGCCGTATGCGTCGTCAGTGCCGTCTTCTAAGAGTGTCTGTGTGCTGACTGCCGCCGTACGCCCCCTCTCAGCCCCTCTGCGCGGCATACCGAGCCGGCTGCCTTCCGGCGGGTTCACCGGCACCAGTAACCTGTCGCGCCTGTCGGCGGCCGCCGGCGCCCCGGCCTCCCGGCTGCCCCGCACCCCGGCCGGACGCAAGGAGGGGCGCGTCAAAATGCTCGACATCAACGAACAGCCCATCGGCTTCCAGGCGCAACTGCAGCAAGGCAAAAACAAACGGAAAAAGCTGCCCGGTGAGTGCGCTTCGCGGCCGGCCGGGTGGTACACTGTCCCACCGGGACATAGTGGGATGCGCTGGCGACGCCGCTTTGGCGCCAAATCGGTGCGCTCATGCCCTATAATGCTATAGGCGTTAGTCTGTCATGTTTTTGCATTGTTTTTTTCCTTCTTAATAATGTATCAGTAATGAATGTTATGTGTTGTAAGAAAATTGGGTGGAGGAAATTGGGTTGTTGGCAGACAAATCTGCGGCCGATAATTCTGTCCTTCATTGAGCAAAATGCGAACAAAATTCATTCTTGGGGCCCTCCACGATTTGTTTACATGCATGCGGTCATAAACAACGTCACCTTTAAGGGGACCCCCTACAGCTGCGCCTTGCTCGAGTCACAGCGGGTTGCTATGACGTTGATGGCGTTTGGACTAACGTGGCCCGTCATAACTGTGTGACCATCAGAGGAAGATATGGCGTCTGTTGTTACCTGACCCGTCCCTGACTCGTCCCCTGACCCGTCCCCTGACCTGATGAACCCACAGAGGACGAGGAGCAGCCGAAGGAGGCGGCGCCGGCCCCTGCTGCGGCCGGCGCGCCGGCCTCCAAGCGCCAGAAGCCGGCCGAGGAGCGGGTGCCGGCCACGCCCGACTACGCGGCCGGTCTGCTGTCGGCCAACCCGCCGACTCCGGCGCCGGTGCCGGCCGCCGAGCCGCCGCCGCAGACCCCGCAGGCGACGCCCACGCCGGCCACCAGTGAGTGGGCGGCTGTGCCGACCAGCGGGCCCGGGAATCCACACAGCACCATACTCTCTATATACGGCGGGCAGGCGGGAGATGCTCTGCGTCTCAGCATTGCGCCAGCTTCTGTTGCGTCCGATAAGTTCATCACTGTGTTGTCAGTTATCACCTTAATTTCGAGAGGCGAAACGATTTTCGCGAATTTCTTAGCATCATTGAGGGCGTGGGCATTACTCAAATGCTGCCGACACTGGAATCATTTTCTTCTGTAGAGGCGACAAGATCCGCTATGGAAAACTATTTTCCTGTTTGAGTTTCAGCTAAATTTATGGTCTGCCTGACTCCATTTTATTTTCGAACCTACGTTTCTGTCCCGCTGACGGTCGTTCCTCCGTCAGACGGCGTGTCGCGGCCGACGCAGGCGGCGCCGGCGGCCGGGCTCGTCTCCGCCCAGTCCATGTACCAGTCGCAGCCGCCGGCGTACGAGCCGTCGCAGCCTGCCGTCCAGCCGCCGCAGCCGTACCAGCAGCAGCAGCAGCCCGAGCAGCCCGGGCAGCAGGTACAGGTACGGCCTGAACGCCTGGCGACGATAGACCAGAGCGGAACCTAGTCGCGAGCGCGGGAATGAGTTATGGTGCGCCGCGGCGGATTTGAGTGTCCAAGGGTATCCTGCCCGGGATTTTTGATTGGCCAATAAGTGCCGCACTTGGCGCTAGTGAATTTGTAGAGGTATGCCCAAAGTGTAGTTGCCTGTTTCACCAGTGGAGACCACACGTCCTGATGTCCGTGGCTGACGCTGTGTGTTTGTGTGCGTGTCCAGCAGCACGTGCTGGTTCCGCGGGTGGCTGAGTACAGCAGCCAGCAGCCGGCGGCCGCCCAGCAGCAGCAGCAGCAGCAGCAGCAGCAGCAGCAGCAGGTGGCCATCATCGCCCAGCCGCAGGTGAGCCGCGATTGGGACTGTGCTGGCGCTAACACGGGATCGATGGTAGAAGATGCACTTTGAAATGCCACCCAGTGATGGCTAATGAGTATAGCTTAAGTCAGAATAAGTTCACGAGCTCTGCTATCAAACCAGATATGAGTTGTTTATTGAATTCATACAAGTCATATGCCAGTCTTGGCGGCTTTTGCTGACTTGTAGTTGTAATATCAATCGACTCTGACTGTCTGATCAAAATGATCAGAGCGATGTGTAGTACTAAATGGAGTAGCACTGCAATATACCCTTGGTGTCATGACTTGAATTAACACCACTATTCGGTTGCGTTCATTCGTTTTCACCGCCCGACTTAAGGTGAGGTCGATGTCTGTAGCGCTGTTGGCGGCGCGCTGTTGTGACACTGACTGGCGACTCCGGCAGGCGAACACGCAGCGTCGAGGGCTGACGCTGACCCGCGAGCAGATGCTCGAGGCGCAGGAGATGTTCCGTACGGCCAACAAGGTCACACGGCCCGAGAAGGCGCTCATCCTGGGCTTCATCGCCGGCTCCAGGGGTGAGCGGACGGTGGCGGGCAGGCCGGAGGGCTGTTCACTGCAAGTGAGGGGCCGGGGAGCAGTCAGGGGAGGTTAGGGGCTGTCCTACGTAGGAGACGTTATGGGCGGAGGGGGGGGGGGGCGGAGGGTGCGGGGTCCAGTGTAGGGAAGAGATGGAGCGAAGGTAGATGGGATATATCACGGTGACTTATATGGGACGAGCGAAAAGGCTAAATAGATCTGAGGGACGATACATTAGTAAAGTAACGGACGCCATATTAATTGCCCATGAAAAGGGCGCCCTCATCCGACGATGCTCGGTTGGCTAGCGCTGAACCAGCTCATGTTCTATGTGCGCCACTGACGGAGTCTGTGTTCGTGTGTGCGCAGACAACCCGTGCCCTCACCTGGGTAACGTGGTCACCATCAAGCTGTCCGAGGACCCGGAGACGCTGCAGCCGAGTGAGGGCGCCGGCCTGGTGCCCATGGTGGCCGAGACCCACTTCCAAATGAACTACTCCACCGGCGAGTGGAAGCGCATCAAAAAGTTCAGCCGCCGCGACGGCGTGCCCACGTGAGAGGCCGCCGACCGCCGGCCGTGTGCTGAGTGACGCGCTGCTCGGGGCCGGTGGCGGGGACGCCGCGCCGGTCCGGCCGGGCAGTGGTGAGCAGCAGACAGACTAACCAACCGCGCTCACCTCAGCCCGCCACCGGCCCAGCCACTTCCTCTCTGTGTTGTGCGCTGGAGCAAGCTCTCGTGCGTTTTGTTTCTCCGTGTTTTGGTGCCTATGCATTAATGTGTCCGTGGGCTATATTGCCCAAGTAGGTGCGTGTGCGCGCGTGTGTACAAAGTTGTTATATGACCTTAGCGAACCGCTGGAGATATGGATAGGTGCTGGTTTACGGCGCTCACCTGACAGAGCGTCCCGGCCCGTGTGAGGGAGCACCTGAACGGCGCAATGTGCCGCAGTACTGCCAGGCACGGCAACGGGGCGGGTCCCCTCGCAGCGTACCGGCTGACGCGACTAGTGTACCGTGTACCGGACTGGCCACGACCACATCATACACATATAGCGCCGTATTTTCGCCAGATTTGGAGCCGTGCTTGTACAATGTCCTCCAGAATATATGAGTTTGGATAATGTGCCGCCTGTATTTGGTGGATGCCTCCTTCATTGTTCCGAGGTTTCACGGAGTGTCGAGCGGGCGGTACCCTGGGCAATGGGGAAGCTTTGACGTTATCGACGGAAGCTTTTGAAATGTCACACGCCTCGCATTTGTAAGTGGTATTGTAATATTTTGTATATATTCTGACCCTCCGAGACTTGAGATATTGGGAAACACCAGCTGCATCAACGTGATGAGCGGTGTCGGGGGAAAAAGGGCAGAGATGCAGGAAGCGCAGGAAGGCAGGAAGCCGATAGCAGCGATAGCAGCAAGGGGCTGCCGGCCTCGCCCTCAGTCCTGTTCGATAGCAGGATTTGGATATGAGCTACGCCATATTTGATGACGTCAATTAATGTATTTTGTTTCTTTTTTGGAAAGTATTCAATACAATAATTTTTTCAAGGCATCAAAACAGTACAAGATGACCCAAAAAGCATTAATTTTCTTTGCGCTTTATTTTACTGATATAACTTCAAATTACCATGAAAAAACCGACGCTAGAGCCGTCACAAGCCAAATTCCGAACACTTACATATTCCACAACCAAAAGTGGCGCGCCTGAGGCGTATTTCGATCATCTTACTTCGGGGACTTCGGGCTTTTTTTGCTGTTTTTCGGTGTTATTTTATGCGACTGCTGAGCTGGAAGATAGGATTGTTGGCTTAGTTTGGGCTTGGGCTTAGTCACACATTTCAGTCAATATCTTATCATGCCGGTACGTATCTTAGCTGTAATAATGTATCATGGCTTCTGCAAATTAAGTTTTTTTCAATTTCAGTTGATTTTTGACTAGACACTTACATGCCTAGGTAATAAATATAGGGCTGTGAACTGTGAAGGCTAGTTTTTTTTTTAAATACAAATCCTGTCTGATATTTAATCATGTTTGTTAGTTAAATATGGCAAAGGTACCTACCTACCTAGATATGGCTGTATAAATGTAGATTGAGACGCTCAAGCAAATGCGGAAAATATGTAGACTCGTACTAGATGCTACTAATGGTTGCCATGGGCTGCCTGTCTTGCAGGCCTACCACTCTCAGTACACCAGCCCACCAGGCCTGGTGGCCAACATGGCCCTGCTGCCAGTGCGGACCCAGTACCGAGGCCCTGCACCACGTGCAACAGACGCAGACATCATTGACGAGGCAATAGGATACTTCAAGGCCAATGTCTTCTTCAGGACATACGAGATCAAGGTATGTGTAGGACTTTTACCAGATTTACCAATAAAATGCTTATTATTTGTGGATAACTCTCCTCAGTTTCAGACTCTGCATGTGGAAACACCTGGTTGGTAATAGTGCTGAATTACTGTGCAAGTTATGTAATGGTTGATACTTGTGGCACTTTTCATATGAGGGTCACTGAGTGCCGCTATGTTTGTTTCAGAGCGAGGCGGACCGCACGCTCATCTACCTAACCCTCTACATCACCGAGTGTCTGAAGAAGCTGCAGAAGTGCGCCAACAAGAACGCCGCCCTGCAGGAGATGTACACGCTGGCCATCTCGCGGTTCGACATTCCCGGAGAGGCCGGTTTTCCGCTGAACGCCGTCTACGGGAAGCCCAAGGACGATACTGAGGCCGGTCAGTGCCCACGCGCCGCCGGTGGGATGGGATGACATCAGGGGGAGGGGGCTGTACGGACTGAGCTACAGTCAGACGAGCCTGGATGACCGACGCGGTGGGTAGGATCTGCTAGTGACATGCCATGGAAGTGATCGAGTGTTGTTTTACCTCGTCGATCTCCTCGCTTTTGTATGGCGTAGGCATGGCTCCTGAAGCCGAGTGGGACCGTTTTAAGAAGACCGAGCAGTGAGCATTCTGTTGTTACTTTCATCCTGTATGTTAAGTCAGGTCAATGAAAATGGTGAAAATGACCTTATGCTCATAATATCAGAGGAACTCATTGAAAGAAGTCTAATGAATTTATCCGATATTATGACTTGAGCATAAGGTCAACTTTACCATTTTTATTAATTACAATCATGCTCAAAGAAACGTTGTACCATATAAAATTTCGTCAGCTCCTTCACATTGTGTGGATCATATTCTACTTTAGCAATTACGGCATCTGTCTTATCGTGACCGAGGCTTAGCTACGCGGTATAGAAGCACTTTTATTTCGCATCCATTTCGTCACGTAACAGATCAGTCACTCTCGCACTCCCTGTGTGTTTGTTACTCAGGTCTGTTCTGTGTTCCACAGACCAGATGCGCCAGTACCTGACCCAGCTGCGCCAAGAGACCGGCCTGCGGATCGCCGAGAAGGTCTTCAGCACCGAGGACGGCAAGCCGTCCAAGTGGTGGCTCTGCTTCTCCCGTAAGAAGTTCATGGACAAGTCGCTGGGCGGCCGCGGCCAGTAGGCGTTTCTTCCGTCTCGCCCCGGGCAGCCGGCCGGGCGGGAGCGGTACTTTGTGGACCTAAACATGCTTTTGTATCCTTGAAGGGGAGGGGAGCGTGGGCGATATGTGATCAACCGGCGTTAGTTGGTGTGGGAGGGAGGGGGAGGGGACAGCGCCGACCGAGCCGACTGGTCAGCTGTTTCTGGGGGGGGGGGGGGGGGAGAGGGACTCACCTTTCCAATCTCGCCAACAGGTGACGCTGGCTGCCGACTGATTCACGGCGGATATGATGATCATGGTGTAGTAGACCTCATCGAGTCCATATTTATGTGATGCTTTTACTGCTAATTAATACATTTATCCGTTAGACTGCAATATTTCGCTTCCTGAAGCTATAATACCGGTTATGCGAACCATGCGCTGGCTCACAGAGCTCTCTGAGGACGCGCCCGCTGACCGTAGTCTAGGTATTGTACAGAAACATTGCTCTGCATACGAGTCCAGCGTTACGCTACCTTTTAAAAGCATTGGGCCCTGGCTGATCGCATTGCTCTGCTGTAGTGATGGGGGTCTGTTTGAACACTGAGGTAAGACCTGAGGTAAGTGCTGGGACTGACAGCCCGTTTTCCACGTCGTAGAGGGCGCTGGGTGTGGTAAGCGGTGTTCCTGCCGATTCAATTTTTCAACTAATTACCTCTGAGCTCAGTGTGTGGTCACTCTAACCGTAGCGGAGGATAGGGCAACTTGGCCGTTTTTTTTTAGAAAGCGTTGTATCTCCAAATTGGCGACATATTTCTGCACTCTCTCAACGCTGGCAGTCACAATCATTTTACTTTGCCGTACAATAAACTGAAAATGATAGATTAGCTACTTGTACTTAGATATTGACGTTTTACAAAGGTCTGCAAAGCGGTCAAATTACCCCGCTAGCAGGGTTTTTTGGCCGGTGGGTTGGGGTAATTCGGCCGGTGTTCATTTGAGGCCTGGATTTGATGTTCCGACAAGTCAGCTTCAGCGTCAGCAATGACGTGCGTCCTATAAGCATTTTTTAAGGCTGACTCGGTGCGGACTTATATTCGAATGGCTTTAACTCAGGTCTTGCCAGTGATTTTAACATTTTCCTGCATAGCTGATAATGCGCTTCCTTTGCACACACTGCTCAATGAAACATTCGCATTAATTTGTCATAAAAATATTTTCACAAAGTAGCTTAAAATTAGTGAGGGTGCATTGTTTAATGTTTGGAAAAAATGTTAGTTTTTACTTTAGCTAAGAAATAATCGACTAATTTCAATTCAACAATGAAATAACTCAACTCAGTATCAAACCCTTACATCTTGCAGCCTTTGCATGTCCGCAAACACGTGTTCGATACTTTTTGCGAACTGCAGATGTGACTATAGTTTGATTTGAGCAAATCCCTGGCTTCTTATTCGTATTGCGTTGTGCAGTGTCTTGACCAGCCCCTAAAAGGCAGACTGTGCCGCAATGCCACCGCCGGCGGCTGTGAACCCAACCTCTCCGTCTGGGGCGGGGCCGCTCGCTGTCATGTACATAAGGTGCAGAAGATCCTGAATTTTGGTGCTAGGGTCGTTTCCGGAGCGCGGGTTTCTGAACATATTTCACCGGTGTTGAGAGCCCTCGGCTGGCATGACATTGCTGATCTTGTCGTCCACCGTGACTGCTCCACTGTGTTCAGGGCGCTGAGTGACCCTTGCGCTCCGGAGGCGATCCGCTCCCTATTCACTCGGCGAGCTGCTGTATCGCAGCGCTCAACGCGGGCAACGTGTGCCGGTGTACTGGAGCTGCCGGCTTACCGGCTGTCCATGTCGCGCCGGGCCTTGTCGTACCGAGCGGCCTCGTCCTGGAATCGCCTGCCGCCTGCCACCACCGGCTCTCGAACTAAAGCGGAGTTTTTACGACTTTTAAACTCGACATGTGACTAGCGCTTTGGTATTTTAGTACAATGTGTATGCGTGTGTGTGCTTGAGTTTTATATGTTTTTACTATTGTGATTGACTAGAAGCTGACACTAATCCATCATTGGAATGCTTCGCTAATACAATATACATAGAAGACCTTTTGGGGCAACAAGCGAGCGAGCGCCAGAGTAAGCCATGTACAGAGTTAGGCTTTTGCGCTTTGCGGTCGGCGAGATACAGACTCAGACGCACGCTTATAGGCACTGGTATAAACGGCTCTAGCCCTAGAGAAAACCCGTTAACTACTCTAAATGGCTCACGTCGGGTGAACTTACCCTCTACGCCAGAAGAACGTCGAAGCTGCTAGACCTTCCGGCTTCCAACGGCTACTAGACGCTAGGAGCCTACAATCACTGCATCGGACTGTAGAAAGACGACGCGTGCCTTGAGTGCGAGGAATCGGACGAGGGAAGACCGTCACCCATTGGCTGGTCGGCTGCTTAGTTGCCCGCCCAGTGGCATCGAGAAAGAGGATCGTTTATACGATTGAGACTATTCAACCGTAGATGTAATCTGAACCCGAAGTGAACAGCTTCGTGGAGTGGCTAGGGCGGCTGGGACGCCCGTATGGTGGTAAGGTAGGAAGCCCAAGGACGGAAAACAAACTATCCTGCTCATTGCTCCTTCGACATGTAGCATGAACCAAAG